AACAAGGGCCTATAGGCCCCTGTTTCCAGCAGCTCTAAGGAAGTACACTTGATTTATGGTTTTCACCTTTTACCTGTGTACTATGTTAGTTCCCAGCTGGTCCTTTCTGTAGTCTCAAGACAGCTGAGAATTCACAGCAATCGCTAGAGATAGAGACAAAATCTCAAGAATTATATCAACTTGTTTGATATCTAAGGCCCTTTATTTGCTAGCTATAAGATGTCTGGTAGAGTAGTTGATCTCTATTTGCCTCTTCAGTCTTAGGTATAATAAGGGGGTCAGCAGTATACCCCAGAAGCAAGGATTAAGTGGAGTAATTGAAGTAAAGTGCTTAATAGTTTCTAGTATGTAGTAAGTACTCAGTAAATGTTAGCAGTTGTTCTTTTATTAAACAAACCTGTTATGAATGGAAGCTGGGTCTGGGCTCTGGAGAGAGTTGGGGGCATGGCTGCTTTGCCATGTGTGTGTGCCTGTGTTGCTGCATGTGAATTCATGTCTGTGCATGGCTGTCCTACAATATGGCTCTAAGGTGAGGATGTACAGTATTTAGGATACCTTGTGAAGTCTGCTGTATTCCTACTTCTTTGGTAAGCCATGTGCATACACATACATGTACATAGATAAAACATATTATTTCTTTTAATTATGTATGAGGAGTTAAGTAGCCCTTCTTGAAAAACACACATAGTAGTACAAGACAGTAGCAGTAGTGCTAATGTGAATGAGGAAAACCATGCATTCTCTCTGCTTTCTAGTTTTTTAATAGAGAATCATGTTGTTGGTCATAGTCAGTGTCTTAGTTACTCTTCTCTCATTGCTGGGACAAATACCTGACACCCAAATTGAAGGAAAGAAAAGTTTATTTATTTATTTTTTTTTTCGGAACCAGGGATTGAACTCAGACACTTGCGCTTGCCAGGGAAGCACTTATTCCACTGAGCCATCTCCCCAGCCCCAAAACACCCAATTCTTTTTTTTTTTTTTTTTTTTTTTTTTTTTTGTGGTACCAGGGATTGAACTCAGGACCCTGCGCTTGCCAGGCAAGCACTTATTCTACTGAGCTATTTCCCTGGCCCAGGAAAGGTTTATTTAGCTGACAGTTACTGGAGATTTCAGTCCATATTCAGCTGGCTCCAAGGGAGAGCAGCACATGGCAGAGGGCAACCTTTAGTGGTGGAGGCAAAGAGCAAGAGCAGAAGGGGGAGTAGCAGCAGCTCAAGCTGCTAGCTTCTCTTCCCACCCTACATTGTAATGCAAATTGCCTGCCCCAGGGCAGGTGCAGCATCCACACCCACAGTAATCAATCACAAACTCCAGAAGCTGTTCCAAGACTGCAGGAGGCTTTTGGGGGGACAACTAGACACAAACCACTACAGTCAGTAAATATATTTAACTATTTAAAGAACACATCAAGCCTCAGTTTAGCCCATAGGAGAAAAAGCCTCATAAAATGTGAAACCTGAAACACACCAAGAACTCCATGCCCAGTCTGTCTGGGCATCAAAGTGGTAGCTTCAAGTAAGGGATTCTAGATCGTAGGCATGGGCAAGTCAGACACTTTTGTCTTCAGTTTCTACTAGCTATCACAAGATGACATTTTCAAGTACTGAGCATCTCAAAGAAGGTAAAGACCTACTAGTAAACATCAGTGAAATGCCAGGAGCAGAAATATGCCATCCTTAAACTTTTTGATGTTTAAGAGAAGTGTATGGAACTCAAAGACCATTTCTTCCAATTTCAAGCATTTCCTTTAAACTGGGTTGTTGGCCACGTAGAACTGGCACACAAGTGCAAATCAGTGACATGTTGGGGGCTGAGGCCTGGAAAACAGCTGTGCTGGCGTTTCGGAGCTCTCTGTAATGAGAGAGCCACAGCGAAGATGTCCTCAAGCAGTGGTGGCGGACCTAAGGCATGCATGTCACAGCCAGCTGTTTGTTAGTGAAAGCTTTAAAAGGTTTGCCATCACTGTCCTGAAGTCCTTGATGCAATCCAACATTGCATGAAGGAAGCAGTTCAATATGGGTTACAGAGAATTTGGGACCAGGTGTGCATTGAATTGGTTCATCCAGGACTGCAGAGATAGCTGTGGACTCAGGCCAAGGAAATGCTGCCACTTAGCAGCTTGCTGGGTAAGTCACCCAAAAACGTCTTTTTGGGTGAGCCCTAGTTTCCTCATTTGTTTTTTTTTCCATAATTTTATTGAGAAACAAATAGCAATGAGACAGTTTCAAACCAAGATGGTAGGACAGTTTCAATAATTCACACATTGCATACATTCTTCCTAGTGGTTCATTGCTGTACAAGAGGCGGACTTGATATCCTATTTACAAACACTATTAGAGCAAATCCCTCTATTCATTAAGAGAATGTAACTATATATCTATCCTAACCACTTTGAATACACAGACACAAAATGGACAAATGGTGGTTCATCCTGGCTCTTTTCTTTTAATATGTGGCTGGGATGTGATGTGGTGATGGGTTTAGAAAAAATAGCAGGATATACCAGCATAGAGGGATTGTTTCTGCTTGGAGTCAGAGCAGGTGACCTTTATCACCAACTACCCCTGAGTTGTTCCTGTATGTATTCTGTTAGACTCTTCTTGGTATGTCACTAGTGTGCTTTAAAGGACTTTATGACACTAATTGTAGCCTTCTTAGAAGCTTTAGGAAATATTGACCAACCTTGTAGAAAGAAATTAGTAAAAGGATTCATTATTCTGGTATCAGGCAGGCCTTCATGGAAGTCCAGTGCAGAGATTTGATTCAAGAAAAATCTGATGATTCAGCTCCAGGTCCTGAATCTATTGGATTAATCTTTCTCTAAGAATATATAACTCCTGGGCCAGCCAGATAGCTCAGTGGACTAAAGCACCTACTTAGGGAGAGTACAGCAGCCAGGTTCAATCCCTAGCTTGCTGTGCCAGCCCCGCCCCCGGGGTGTGCTGAGACAGTGATTGAGGCTGGGCGTGGTGGCACATACTTGCAATCCCAGTGCTTGGGAGGCTGAAAACAGGAGAATCACTAGGAGTTCGATCTATGTAGTGAGACCCTGTAGACTCTGTACTAAATACGTAAAAACATAAAAAGAGAATATGTAACTCTGCTTTTGCCATTTGTACATTGTTTGTTAAGATACTGTATTGTATAGAGTATTTTTAAAAAATATGAACCTACATGTAACTGAAGTTTTATGGCTTCAGCTAACACCAGGTCTTCAGATGTTATTTTAGATCACTTTACTGGGGACTTTGGTGACATTTTTGGTTACGTGTCAATTTTCAGACATTTATCATTTTACTTCTTTCGTGTTGAGATTTGTGTGTGGAAAATCCACTTTTAGTATAATATCTAGAAAATGGAAACAAAGATTTGCAGAAATTCATCTTAAGCAGGCTATATGTGGGGGCAGGGCTAGAGAGGGGAGCCAAGATGGTCTTGTCATCTGGTGTTTCTTTCCTAAAGTGAGGAATCCGTATCCTTTATGGTACAGAGTACTGTACTTGACTCGCTTTTTTGGCTCAAGAACATAGAGCAGCAATGGTACTTTTGGCACTAGAAGACCCACTGCTCTGGTCTTACCAAGATCTGGTGGCTTGTGACTGCACACAAAGAGATAAAGTATGTATTTGTAAAAGATGTGATTGGTCAAGATATTGATTCTTCACTTCTGCTCCCTTCCCTGTGTTCAGCTCTGTTCCTCCTTAGCGAGGTCCAGGCAGAGAAAAATGAAACAGAGAATTAGGCCACTGGCTTCTGAAAGATATTGATCAGGGAGCACATCAGATGGGTGCAAACACCTTCCCTTTGTCATGCTGAATGGGGACCTAAATATGCCTTGTGAACACCCCTGTAGAGACTTCTTTTCCCTGTGAAAAGATTAGAAAAGAAAAAGAATTCCCAGAAGCAGTACCCAAAAATAATATCAGCATTTCTAAATGTGTTTCTTTGAAGTCATTGAGCCCTTTGGTTTTCTAGGCCAGGTGGTGGCATGAGGGAGTGGTGCGAGGAGGTCAGCTATGAGCAATAATGTTACAGCAGCAAAGTCCATCTAGTTCCTAGCCCCAGCACCTCTCCCTAGTTTGAGCCTCCACTGCTGCGTGATTGGTGTCTGTCTCTCTCTGTCCCTCTTGCTCTACCTCTCTGTCTTTCCCCCCTTCCCTCTCCCCATCATGCATATTCTTTCTCCCCACAGTGCACATCTGTGGTGTGGATGTGCTGCGGACAGTTGCAGCTATCCTTAAACCAGCCCTAAGCCAGCGGTCCCAGGTGGGCCATTCTGGATGATTGAGATGCTGTGACCTTGAGTGTTCTCTGGTCAAATGAAGTGTGGCCCTGCCTTTTATCTTGATTTGCCTTGGGTTGCCTTTGTGTAAGCAGCCAGGGATCTTGTTAATGGACCCCTGGGACAGAGAAAAGAGGACAGAAGTGGATTTGTTGAACCCTGTGGGGCATTTGAAGTGGTACCAAAAAGAAGTTGAAATCCAATTGGGCTTTACTTATCAGGCCTGATTTGCAACGCGTTGAAAGGGTGATGATTAGTAAGAAAAAGGCCAGGATACTTTATCTTTTCCTTTGTACATTTGGGGAAAATGCCGTCTGCCTTGCTAGCATTAGAAGCAGACCATTCTTGTTTCTCTACCATATCACATCAGCTTTCATTAAAAATCAACAGCAGCAAATATAAAGCCTCATCCATGGAAACCGTTTAAGGCAACACTGTGCTCCAGTGCTTCAGGGGTGGGATTTTTGCCTTCTGCACCAATGGAACTGTTTCTCATAGCCATGCCTTTCTGACCCAGCAGCTTTTAAAAGACCAAGAAGCATCGCTCTGCTTTCTACTGCCTCTAAGAGACCAGGGCTGCTATGCCTCTAGCCATGTCCCAGAGATCATATTTGACACAAGTCAGCTTAATTTGCGTGCATGCCTAGGAAATGTCTCTTTAAAATCTTAGTCTGGCAGAAGAACTGCATCTAAATATTTTGCTTTTCCCATCCAGGTGAGCGACGGAGGCGCCGATGCCAGGTGGCATTCAGCTACCTGCCCCAGAATGATGATGAACTTGAGCTGAAAGTTGGTGACATCATAGAGGTGGTAGGAGAGGTAAGCAAGTGGCCAGGCAGTGCAGTAGCCATGTATGGCCATCAGACTCCCTTGGGCACCCAGTCATGAGGAACTCTCACAGCAGATGTGTAGGACTAACATGTAAAGAGCCTCATCACAGGGCAGGGGGTGCAACTTAGTGGTACAGCATGCCTAGCGTGTCATTGGTGTTGGATGTTAGAACTTGAAGAAATACTAGAGATCATCTAGTTGAGTCTCCTGAGGAAATGGGTTCCAGGAGAGAAGTGCCATCAGGCCAGTTGGGATCAGTTGTGGGGTCATTTGAAACCATTATCTAGCACAGCATACATACCAAGTATCTCTGAAATTCCAAGCCAGTGCCACCAACTTTCTCTTGTGTTTTAATGGATGGCTCTGACTGTCCAGAGTGACACAGATACATTCCTCCAGGATGAAGTCAGTGTTCACTGTCAGACAATGTACGTTTAAAAGGAAAGAAAAGAAGTGACATCTATTAGAAGCTCAAGTATGTGGCAGGTATGATGAAGTTACCTTTTTTTTACGCAGTGCCAGGATAGAATACTAGGCAGGTGATCTACCCCTAAGCTACCCACTGCCCTGTGATGAGGGTCTTTCCATTTTAACCCACTTACACATCTTGAGCACTTTATTGTGTAGATGAGAAAAGAGCCTCAAGAGACCTTAGACAAGGCAGGGCTCAGGGGTGAAGTCAGATCCACCTGAGTGGGGACCTGTGTTCTTTCTGCAATGCCACTTTTCTTTGTCCTACTTTGGGCTTCCTACCTGGAGCCAGCCCTGTCAACAAAATGACCTCTGAAGCACTGGGTGGGCTTCTGAGGCTCCACTCCCTCAGGTCTGTGTGTTTCTGGGCCTCAGACTTCAAGCTTCGTCATTTGTCCAGCTTTAACACTTATATCTGTATAAAGAAATATGGTTTTCCAATTGCTTTTGTTTCTGGAATGCCTTTCAACTTCGCAGAAACTCACGGTTTACCAAAGAGGAAGGTGGGACCAGTGAGATAGCTCAGTGGTCTAAGCACCTGCCTAGGCAAGCAGAGGGACCAGGGTTTGGTTCCCAGCACTACATGCCACACTGGCCCCATCCCTGGGTGCACTGAGCCGGCCACCTAGACCAGGCATGGTGATGTACCCCTACAGTCCCAGTGCTAGGGAGGCTGAAACAGGAGGATCACTACGAGTCTGAGCTGCGTAGTGAGACCCTGTACCTAATACATAAAAAAGAAAAAAGGAAGATGGAAATTGAGGATTATAAGTGAACCGTCATGTGGGTGGAAGTGGCAGGGTTAATGCTAAAAGCCAGATTTCTTGACTTTCATACAAACCTAATGTGACCCTGTGTGAGTTTTATTAAACTCATTAGGAAGCGATCTATAAGATGGAAGGCTAGCTCCAAGAGTATAGTGAAAGAGCAAGGCATGTCTAATGAGGGGAAGAAGAAATACTTGATTTAAGTCACTAAGACACCAAATTTCATAATGTCCTACAGGGCAATAAAGCTAAGTTTTGAAGTCATCTTTTCTAGAGGACAAATCCTTTGCATTGCTATTGATCAAAGTTTATTTTTGTTGCTGTATGATATAAGAATCACTTGTATTACTTTCTGCCTCTTGCCATTTAACAGCTACACCAACACAATTGCAAACTAGTCCTCAGGCATAGCAAATAAGGTGCCAAGAAAGATACATGTCCCTAGAAAAGCAACTAATGGGGTTCCCACAGTGGTGCCGGTAAGGCATTCAGAAACCCCTTTTGCCTATTTCCCGGTTTGGATAATTTGTGCTAATATGTCATCCATCTTTTTCATTAATTCCCTAGTGTCAAGTGGGGCATGTAAGAAATATTTATTGAAAGTCGAATGAATGATAAATGGACAGCACAGTAGAACATTTATTCCAAAGATAGAAAGGCAAGTTTCTTAACACAGTAACCATGGAAAAAATTCCAGAGAAAAAATAAACAGATGTAGCTAATATAAAAAAGTTAAAAATTTGGGGATAATTTGAAGCTTGTATAGCTAAAGAAAAAGAGCAAAAAAGAGGAAAAATTGTAGTAAGTTACAACAAAAAGTATACAGGTAACATATGAACTATATTAGAAAGCTACTGGAATAATGATAAGTGATAAATCAATTTGCCATGAATACAAATCCTTGAAGGGAAAACACTGAACTATGAGAAAATTTTCCATCCTGCTCTTAATTAAAGAAGTACAAATTAAAACAATACTGGGTTTCTACTTAGGAAAATCTAGAAAGTATTTGGTGGTAAAGATTGTTGGTAAAGCTGAGAATAACTGGTGAATTTGTACATCTGTATGATCACTATGGGAAGCTATTTAGCAAGCTATGTTAAGAGCTATAAAGATCTGAATAACACTCTTTGACTTAGTACTTTCATTCCTAAGAATTTATCTTCATCAAATGGTTAACAAAAGAAAAAAATACATACAAAATGTTTTAATTGCAGCAGTGTTTGTGATAATGAAAAATAATCAAAGAAGGGAATTAAGTTGTATTATCCAACTAGAAGATTATGAAACCATTAGGTTAGTAAACACGGAGGCTTTTAAATATGTATTTATTGTGATACTTTGCATTATAATTACCTGTTATATTGCACTAAGCTGAGAGCTATTCAACAGCAGGAACCTGGTTTTTATCTATCTTTATATTCATGGTACCTGGAATAGTGCCTGAGACCTAATATGTACTTTAACAAATGCTCACGGAGTAAGTAAATGAGTAAGTAGGAATATGAAAACAGGTTTTACAAAATAAATGAACAGATCAGAACACAAATTTGAATATAGTGGGATATAATTATGTAAAATATATCTAGGTGCATGTGATCAAAGGCTGGAAGGGAATAAGAATTGAAAATGGTTCCATTGCAGTAGATGCACTTTTCCTTTAACTGTGCAGGGATGCTTTAAAGAGAATACAAATCAAGACCAGGCAAATGATTTCTGTATTTCTGAGAAATAATGCCCGATTTTCTTGACCATTGTGTGCACAGAAACAGGCCAGGTTGCTGAAGGACAGGAGCCTAGTGCAGGCCGACGCTGCTGCCCTAGAGGCCGGAGCTCTGCCTCCCACCTGCACGGAAGCACTTATCCACTCTCTGCTCGCTGGGTGCTCGGCCTCATTCTGGGCTTGCTGCCATTGGGAAAGGGAAAAACAGCCGTAGGATTTGTGTTCTTTATAGAAGATGTCGAGGCTAGCTTTTTTTTTCACCTTTTTAAAAATTAATTTTATTGAGAAAGAAATAACAATGAGACAGTTTCAAAACAGATTAGTAGGAGAGTTACAATAGTTAATACATTGCATGTTGTTGTCTTCGTAGTAGTTATTCGTAATACAAGATGCAGACATGATATCTTGTCTAAATACTATTAGATCAAAACTTTCTTTTCATTAATTAGCCACCTGTTTAAATTCCACCGCAGTGATAACAAGGATCCAAAGAGCAGCATAGACCAAGAAATGAGGCTAGCTTTTTTATCCACTTTTTGAAAAGAATTAATTGACTTTTTCCAGTTTACTTATAATTTTGAGCCATTGTCATGGTAATAATATAAGACTTGTCATTTTGTCTGATAGTGAATATTGTGTAAGTACTAATGGGGAGATCATCTCTAATTCTTTTAAAGAATATAAACAAAATAAAACCCTAAGTAAACCAAAACCTTTAAATCACAGGAAGGTAAGAATATATGAATAGCTTTGCAATACTATAGAATCAGTCAGTTAATAAAGCATAACATTGTATATGTGCATATTAGGTTATATGTTTATTGGTTGATTAATAGGTTAATTTCTACAGTATTGCAAAGCTATACAAACAAACCCTTACACAACTACACGGTTTTTTTTTGTGGTCCTGATAGACAACTCTGAGAGTGATTTTCAATGCACAGCCTGGCTTTATTTTGAAGCTTTTGGATCAACTAGAGAATTCTAAAAAACAGTATACATCTGTTTTTCTTTTCTTTT